GTTACTAGAGAGAATTAAACAAAACAAATTATGACATACACCATGATGCTTAGCAGACCAATTAATTAGTTTAGGGGGTTCAATTCTCATTGGGTACCCAAATACTGTTAAGTAAATATCAATTGATTATAGTAGATAATATTTACAATAATGGTTTTTATTTGCTTATATATTTCTGTCCATCAAAGTTTCCTTAAAACTGAATGCACTTATTCATTTCACTTTTGGAATTGTTGACAACTATTAAGGTTAACATTTTCTGTCTGTTCTCTTAAAAACAATAGAAACAACAATTATTTTTCTTTCAGAACTTATAGATGAGGGGTGGGGGTGAAGGCAAAGGAACTGGTTACATCAAGATAGTCACACACACACACACACGGAGAAGGGGTGGGGAATAAACTGAGATGAAGTGTAGATTAGAGAAAAATCAGTATCTTTAATTGGAGAGGAATTAGGTATTTCCATTGTTAATGCACCCTTTTTAATTTTAGTCCATTTATTTAATTACTAAGCTTAGTCTGTCACAAAGTCAAAATAATGAGGAACCTAGTGAGGATCAAACTCAATTTTAACTGTGAGACAAGCTTACTAAGTATTGGTAGGTGTTCTATCCAATCTGAAAACAAATCAGTTATTCATAAATTTTTCTTTCTTTATTCTTGCCTGCTTGATCTACTTTTAGGTGTTTTAGCTTTCACTAAAAAAGTAAGCATAGACTTTTTCCAAAGATTTTGCAAGTATACAAATGTAATGACCAGAAAAGATTTGATCAAGTTGTAGGCAAATGATCCTGGCATTTATTTTCTCACTTTGACTCATTCAAGCACCAACATCTTTACCATATGAGCAATATCATTGATTTATTCTTATTTTCTGCAAAAGACTCTATTATTATTTACAAAGCTTAGGTTAGTTTTGGCATAAGGCCACAAACATGGAGCACCTACTGAACTTACGACTCTATATTAATGATCAGCCAAACTGACTTGGTTACCAATGGCATTATCCCATGCTAAGGTAGCAAAAGGGACTTGATGTTAGTGCATTTTTAAAGAGTATAGGTAACAGAAAAAAATTTGGTTGCATGCACAAGAAGGTGTTGAAAAGTACTGGCCAAGATCAGATTAAAAAAATAAATAAAAATATAATGTTTGGCCATTTAGAACCCCCCACTAATAGTAATATTGTGTGAATTTCTTAGATGGAGCACTGTCATGTTTCATATCAATCTTTAATAAGTAAAAATGTAACCAAAAAAAAAAAAAAAAAATTTGAAAGAAAAATTAATCAAATTAATAATTTTTGTTGGAGTTTTAATATTTTTTCCAAAAAATAGATTGCAGAAATATATAAAAGAAACTTGATGAAAAATGTTTTGTTTTTAAGCACGACTTGTTTCTTGTCTAAGATTAAAAATTCAATATAAGTTTTTATGTCAAAACAACAGTTACCAGTTTTGCAATTTTAAAATAATGTACATTTCTAGATTTTATAATTTGTTACATTTTTACAAGATGGTAAATCATTTCATTGTAAAAGAGTTATTCGGAAAATTTAATTCATTGTTTGTCTTATTTATGTGGTGCTAAATTTCAAAATGTTTCTGCCAAATTCATTCTACAACCTTCTCCAAACTTTATTATTATCCCAGAATCATATGGAAAAGCAACTTTAATTGTGCTGAAAATTTTTAAACTCTCCCAAAATTAAAGTGATTTGTTTTTAGTTGCCAGCGGCAGAATAAAATATTTGATTTTTTTTTTTAAAGCTGAAATATAAAAATATTAAGTACAAGGACAAATTAGACCATTTTTATTGCCATTTTTTGATAAAAAAAGACAATTGGAAAATAGTTTTTAGATCTTGCTGACGCGTTTCGTCATTTGATTATCAAGGCAAGTGGGTAAATTTGCAGATTAAGCCCCAGAATTATGCATGGAAGCTTACTTAGTTAACGGCCTTTTTACTGATTTTCCTATATTTGTCTCAATTACTACATAAAACCAAAAGAAGTATTTAGACATTTTGAAAGTGAAGCTTTTATTGAATTCTTTTTTAAAAATTTAAGTTATTTAGAAAAACAAGGACAAGTGTTTTTTTTATAGTGAAGCTGTAGTGTAATAATAATGAATTCTTGTTTAAAAAAATAAAACAAATTTTAAACGGTGGCCTTTTCCCAAGTGTCATTGCGATTTTGTAATTAATCATGCCTAAATAATTTTCCTTAAATTTGTTTGTTATTAAGTCTTTTCTAGAATTCTTTTTTTAAAATCCCAAATTTAATAACCCAAAACTTGGGTTACTTTTTAAAATTTGTGCATTCATTTTTTTAAATTAAAATTTGCTGTTTGCACATTGCATGTGCAATAATCAAGACAAGTGAAGCTTCTGCACATGATTACTCAAGGCAAACATATGTAAACAATGCCAGTAATGGATGCCGGGCTGTTGCTGCAACACGAATAAGGCTGAAATATTGTTGATAACTCATAAATTGTAGATTTCCACAAACTTTTACTGTTTTTTTTCAAAATAAATATGCAAATTTACACCAAAATGGAAATTTTCATTACAATTGGTTTCTGGGGCTTAATCTGCAAATTTACTGGCAAGTGATGATAAAAGCAAAATGTTGTGCAGTTAGATCAAATTCAAAATTTTTTTTAAAAAAGACGCTCCCATGTAAATCTCTTTTTGCTCATTGGATATTGGTAACTTTTTTTTTACCAAGATTTTATTTTTGTTTTCCATATCAACAATACTGTTAAATTTTTCAGAATACTTCTGAAGATAAGGCAAATTGGATAAAGAAGACAATTGGAAAATAGTTCTTAGTCCTTGCTAACTAAAACAAACACTTAGTAAAAAATTTAAAAAAAAGTTACCAGTATCCATAAAAGGTTTTACACAGGAGCATCTTTTTAAAAAATTTTGAGTTTCATATAACTACAAAACATTTTGCCTTTTTTTTTACTTATCATCACTTGTCTTGATAAAGTCGTCAAATGGTGAAACGTGTCATCAAGGATGAAATCCAATTTCTCTTATCTTCAGAATTACTCTGAGAAATTTAATAGGATTTTGTCATCTTTATAAAATCACAACTTTATTTTTATTTAAACATCTCAGTTAAAAAAAAATACCATGAATAATTCAACATGGAAATGTTCTTCATTTATTTTCAGGCTTGTTTGAACTTTTATTTGACTTTTAGTTTAAGAAGTGTTACTTGCTATGTTCTCAACGCATTTGTTTTCTATGTAGGCATGTGCCAACTACGTTTTAAAAGTCTAAGATTTATTACTGATACAATAATTGTGGCATAAGTCTGAAAAAAGTGGGGGGACTAGTCAAGGTTGGTCATCACTAGCTATCTTATACCTAGCAAATCGGATCCATGACCCATTTATTCATTATAATATATACTCCTTCACCATAAGAATTTATCCATCACTATTTGCTCCTTCATACACCGAAATACCTCACACACCCTGGACACTTACTGGGGAAAAAAACACTTCGTGAATTAAAAAAAAATTCCCAATAGTACAATTGTGTATAAAATATATAATGTATATATATATAATTTTATCAAGGAAATGATGTCTTCAAAAATTTATTTAATTTACCTGCCTTGAATCATAAGTAAATTCTGTGTTTATTTAGGTATTATTTTTTAAATTCTCCCTTGTATTTTCAATTGAATTTATGATAAACAAAAACAGAAGAAAAATGTAGTTTGTGCATTCAAGTTTAATTAAAAATTGAGAAAAAAGTATAATTTCTTTGATTTTAAAGCAAAATTTGTTTTTTTTTTAATAATTAGATCATGTTTTTCACATTTAGAAATAATTAATACAAATGCCTAAATTTAATTTTTTTTTTTTCATTCAGGTTTCATTCACTAGTTTAAAAAAGACAAGCTTAAGTTTTGTTGATGTTTATTTTTTGTGTGTGTGTGCACAAAGCCCGCTATTATTGGTGAAAAATATAAATTTTTATTTTTATTTTAAAGAATTACTTGCTTTTAGTTTTACAATAAATAAATCAAGTCACAAACTGAGATAGCTTTCAATTTTTATAGGGTTGGAACCAAAGTTCCTTGTTTTTCCAAAGGTAGTATTTGAATATGTGATTTTATTTCACATGATTGAAATTTATGACATATGTACATATTTTGCAAGGTGACATTTCACTGCATTTCAATACATCTTTTACAATTTGTGTGCGGATTGTGATTTTTAAATGTTTTTAAATTAAAAGTAAATATGGAAGAAAATGAGATGCATTTTCATTGCTTTATACTCTTTCTATTACCAGAAAGTAAAAAAAAAAAAAAAAAAAAAAAAAACAGCAAAAAGATATGTGCCATTTATGGTTATGGTGCTATAGCTGAGAGTACTGTTTGTAAATGGTTAGCTAGGCTCAGATATGGGAGATTTGATCTGAATGACTGAAGACATTCTATTAGGCCTTTAGTCGATGATGATAACAAAATTAAAACACTGTTATAAAGTAATCCAGATCACAAGTCACCTGACATTGCAGAGATCTCCGACATATATAAGAATTGCAAGACATTTGAAAACACTTAGATATTTGGGTGACTCTTGATTTAATGGGGAAAAAAATTAATAGATTGCATTTGTATTTGCACTTTTCTACTCAAACAAACTATCATGGTCAATGAAAAATAGATTGTTTACAGCAATGTGGGGCAAGAAAGGTGTTGGGGAAAATGAAATCAAAGCCATTGTTAACTACTCCAAAAGTTAGTCTGTATCTGAGGAAGGTGATGCGGTGCATCTGGTGAGAATGGAACAGCATTAGACATTATAAGTTCCTTCCATGAAATCAAATGTCTAATTCAGATAAGTACTCTCCCAATTGGATGAATTAAATGCAGTAATTGATGAAAAGCATTCAAAATTATTCACTTGGAAGGGTATCTTCCATCAGGACAATACCAGACCTCACATTTCTTTACAGGTCTGGCTTATGGCCACATCACATTGAAACACAGGTTCCTGTATGATCACCAAAGTTAAAGCAACATTAAGCTTGGTCAGTACCTAGATGAGTGACCACTTGGGAAGATCAAGTGATGTAATGGATAATGACTCAGAATTGTTAATCAAAGAGCCAAGTTTCAATTCCTGTTGGGTTTGTTATATTCACTTATTCACAAATACCCTTGGGGAAAGGTAGGAATCCATCTATTCTCTCCAGCTATGGCTTAGTTAGTAAGACTTGTATCATAAAACCATTGTTATCTAAAAAAAAAAATGCATACAAAATATTTAGATTTCAGCATTAAATAACCTGTAGAGGTTGCTATGCATTTAAACAAAAACAACCAACCAACTATTTACAAACCTGGTAAAAACTAGTACAGATTGGAAGGGATGTCCTACAACAAACATCATACTCATCTGAGATTTCAACTTTGGATTGCCACATTTTGATTTGTACAACCTTCTCAAAACTTTAATTCTATTGAAGACTATAAAAGTCACTTAGACTAGTTTATTGTCTGGAAAGATTCTGAGAGGATGGAATACTGAAGTTGCCTCAAAGATGGTGAAAGGTAGTGGAAGAAAATAGCACATATGTGGTCCAATATGTACAATATAATTGTTTAATACTATATACAAATATCTAAATATTGTCTTTAAAATTCACTTGAAAAATGCTACAAATGTTTGTTCTGACCAAATATTATAGCTTTAGTTTTCTGGTTTAGTGTTTTCATGACTCAACATACCTTAAGCTTCAGAGCTGACACACAAAAAAAAAACTTATTGAGAGTTTATAATACCGAAAAAAACCTGACCAAAGTGGGACATATGTTATGGCTATACATGAGGTCTCTTAAATAGTGGGGATAGGGAAGGATGTTAAAGTGAACACATTCTTTTGCAATTTTTTTTTTAAATGACTAACTTCTTTTTTTTTCCTCAAGAAAAAAAAGCATTCATGTGAAGCCTGGCATTAAAGACTTAAGTTGTGCATCTAACAACACACTGAGTCGTAGCCCCTAAAACACCCTTGTAAAATGTACATAATTATGCTTACTTTTACATTGTAGCCTGTCATAACCTGTAATATTTTCCATTTTTCTTTTAAGATCAATTTGGGAAAATAAAATTTCTATCCTCCCTAAATCCTAAGAGGAAACCAATTATATTTTTTGGGTATCTACTGTGAAGTGGCCTTTAGTAAATTAGTTGTGTAGAATAATACTAGTGAATTTGGATGTCTGTGTGTCCTTGATTGTTGTAGTGTTATGCTAAACTTAATAAATATCTATTTGATACTTTATTGAATTTTTTTTAGAAATTTTTTAGGTAAATGATGATTGCATAGGCAGGAATACAAAATGAATTTTAATTCTAGTAGCTTTATTTATAGTATACAATAATATCAACAGGAATCAACTAAATTGAGTATTATAAAAGCAAATATTCTTCAGTTTTGATTGTATCTCTAAAAAATTCTTCTCATTAACATCATTAGATTCAATGAACTGCCATCAAAAATATTAGGCCATTTTGTTATGTTATTAACGAAGGTAAAGTAAATTGACTTGTTTTCTTTTCACTTGTACATATGTTATCATTGTCAATACTAATGATGGCACAGTACTAAATCTCATAGGTAACATTACTGTTTACTTAACTCTGTCCATTATTGTTAGTGAGTAGATGTGAGGCTTTGGGGACTTCTCTGAACATAGATTCAACATTCTCTCTTCCCACTCAAGTGGGTGCTGATATATCTACCTCTTATCCTATATGTGCACATACTAGGCACAGCTGGTTTGACATGTCAGAAGCAGCCACTGACATTGAGTGAAGGTTTGGATCTGTACATAGCAGCTAAGAAGTCACCTCGTAGTTCAACCAGCTGATGCACATGGATTCTTTAATGGACACTGAGTGAAAAGTCTATTTTGTGCATCCTCTGGAGTGAGTTATTTACTAGAAATACCATATAAATAAAGATTTTATAAACAAATATCTCTAGTAATATTAAAACAATAGATGTGCTAAATATGAAATATAAAACCTTATTAATTTGAACAAAGGTTTGTTTTTGAGTTGGTAATAGCTTGAAATTATAAAAATGGATGTTTTGAATGGTTTTGACTTTGATATCTGACTGGAGCCAAAAGAAACAATATTCTATTTTATTCAACTGATATTCTGTCTCACTTCTATCATTTATTTTAAATTTATCTTTCAGTAAATATGTTTACTTTTAACTCTAAAATTTTTCCCTGGAGTGGATCATCAAATTTAGCAATCAAGTAAAGAAAGTTTGTCCCAACTTGGAGAATGCATTAAGCACTGGTTTTATAATAGGAGCAAAAAGTATTGATTTTATAATTACAAAAACTTTAAAACCATAAAACATAATAATGGATGATAAAAATTTTACAATAATTCTTAATAAATCTAACATATTTACGGATATATCTTCTGATGCCTTCATCTTGATCTCCGTCCTTCTCTTTATCCTTTCTTCAAACACCCCTCTTTACTCTTGCTCACACTCTCTGTAACCCTTTGCATGCTAGTGGCACTCTTACCTTGCTTGGGGTGCTTAAAAAAATATTTTGTTTTGTTTTTTTGTACTTTCAGTTTTTGTTCACCCTGTTTCAAGGAGCCTAAGTCTGAACTATTTGGGATAGAACTCACTGTGAAACCAAAGACATAGACGAAGTAATATCAACAAAGGTGTGGACATTAGTCTGAATATAAAAATGATAATTCCTCATTGCAAAAATTTAGAATGAAATGAACAAGGTTATTGTGAAATGAACAAAAAGGCTTGGAAAGAAGGATGTCACTAAATCAAACAATAATTGCATTGTTTTATTTGGTATCAGGAAAACACGTGTTTTAATTGAATTTTCTAGTGAAGTTGTGCACTTGGATGGGGTGCAAAAAAAAATTTTTCATCCTAACCCCTACTTTACAAAATCTGATCAAACATGATGTTGTTTGAAAAGCTTCTTCATTGGGCAAAGAGCTTTTTAACATCGACTCATACTTAACATTGTTTTCTGCACTTGAGAATTTGTACTTGACTGAAGAGGCAATCTCTAACTTTTGTTAATCAGAAGAACACATATTCCAATTGGTTTGTATATAAAAGAAACTCACTTTGTAGACTATTTCCACTAAGTTGTTGACCTTCAACTTGACATTGTTAGTTTAATCTGTAATGTTTCTGATTTAATTTATCTGCTTTAGGTGTGTCTGACTTTGTGTGAAGAGAATTTTGTTCGAAACAACAGTTTAGTATTCTTTTCTTTATGTAATATTGCTTCTCATATGGCAATGAATGCTGGACAATATATCTAAAAGCCTACCAATTGTCTATGCTTAGAATATTGCTATTACATATGGTCTTGTGCTCCTGCTATCTATCTAGAGATCCTTGATTAAATCCAAAGAATTATCAGCAATATTATTGGTTATGATCTGGTAGCTCAGCTTCAGTTACTTTCCCACCATCATAAAGTTGCCTTCCTATGCCTTTTTCTATAAATATTTTCATGGCAACTGTTTGGATGAGCTCTTTGATATGCTACCTAGACTCTATGAATTTAAGTGCAGTACTAGACTAGCAAAAAGATCTCATCAATTCAGAGTTGAGTTGCTTACATATAACCATCAGTTCTAGGCTAATAGTTTTTCTCGTACTTCTAACATGTTGAACTCTCTTCTGACTTCCAGTCAACTTTGATCTTCAAAAATTTAAATGCAATGTTAACTGCTATCTGCTCTCCTCTTGATTCTTCTTCTTTTGATCTTGCTCCTTAGTAATGTTTCTGTTTTCTAATTCTTCCACACCCAGTAACCCCTTTTGTCTCAGTGGCTTTATTGCCTTGCTTGGAATGAACTCGATTAAAAAAAAAAAAACAGTAACTGGCAGAAAAAATATTACAGTAATGTAATCTTTAGGAACATCAGTGACTTGGAAGGAAGAAATTTCTCTCATTTTCAGTGTTTCAAAGAGTTTTGCACTGGAATTGCAGAAGGTGCCAGCCTCGAGTTTCCAAAAAAGATTATTCATGACTTAGATAAGCATCTTTTAGAGAGATTTTCAGGTCTCCAGTGAATTGAGAGTGACATTCTTCTGTTCCAGAATCCTTTTTAATTGTAACCTTGATGACATGCCAGTTGAACTATAGTTGGAACACAATGATTTGCAAGCAAGTGACTTGTTGAAAGAGAACTACAGAGAAGGAAAACTTATTGAATTTTATCACTGCTTACCTAATGATGAGTTTTCAAAGTTGAAGAAATTTGCCTCTAGTATGGTATTAGTGTTTGAAACAACTTCTGTTTGTGGGCAAATATTTTGAAAAATGAAGTATGTAAAGTCAGCACATTGAACAAGATTGAATGATGAACCAATTCTTTTGGTTCCAAGGCAAAATATTGATTCCAACACAAATATTGATTCTATCTCAAAAGGTAAACATCAGTTTCACAAATCACATCTTTGTCATCTTTGGTAACTTTTTGGTAAATAAGTAGATTTGTTGTCTTTATTTTTTGTGTATTCAGTGTATTGTATTGAACAAAATGGTTATCTGGCCTGTGCTCATCATTCTCTGTTATCTGGCCCTCTGTGAAAAAAGTTTGGTGAACCCTGATCTATATGATGATATTAATAAAAGTAAAGTGTACAGATAGTAATCTATGCTAGCTATATTTTTTCACACATATTTTGTGCAACGTTGGAAATTGAAAATAATGATCTGAACACCATAAAAATTTGAAGGAAAATTGTGTATAAGTCTGCTTGAAAAATAAATATAACTGTCTATCCAACAAATAAAAATTTTGATTTAACAATGGTTATATAAAATGAAATTATAAACAAACAATAACTAAGAAGTAAATTGAGGAGTAAGTATTGGTAAATGAGTGGAAAGGTTTTCTTTGAAAATTCTTTTCTTTGAAATTTCTTTGAAATTCATTTTGTAAGTCAATCATAATTAATAAATTTGCTAATGTTTTGATGAACAGAAAATATGCATTAATAAGTGTGTATTATTATTATTCTTTAGTGCATCTACATAGAAATGTGTA